TTGAATCTGTTGCGGTGGACAAAGATACTGCTTCCATATTTGGGAAATTATACGTGGAGTATTACCTGACGGAAAAACTAGACAATGTTCTAGTCGATGAAGAGGGTTTGCCTTTGATATACATTCTAAAGAAACCCATTTTGCAATACTACCTCAGCTTGGTCATGAAGAAAGGCTACCCTTTGCTGGATAGAATCAACCACGTCATGGTGAAAATGAAGGCATCTGGGTTGACGAATAAATTCCGGGAAAAATTTTACGAGGCCATCAAAAGATTCCGCGTAATATCCAGAAAACAACCCAGCGTTTCCAATTTGACGATGCACCACCTTCAGGGTCCCTTCGCAATACTAATAATAGGCAAAATGCTTGGCGTACTAGCTTTCATCTACGAGTTCCTTCACAAGAAATTGCACAACAAAAAGAAACGAAAATAAACAACGTAACTTTTATTGAAATTTGCACTCTAGGATTCTTTAGGTCCTCTGCCTTTAGATCAAAATCGTTCAGATCCGTGTCATCGCCAGGATCAGGCTGCAAAAAGTTTTTTAATTTTCTTGAATTATCTTATGTATTTTTCTACTAAAAGATGCTGGATATTTGATGTTTGTAAAAATGGAATAAAAGCCACAAAAGAAGACCATAATTTCATCAAAGACAGCCAGAAAATCTACAAAAACAGCACCATAGACGTAGTAGCCATGCCTTACCAACCTTTTGTCATCACGAACGAAAGAGGATATGAAATCGAAATGTTACTAGATCAATTTCAACATAACTGTGAATTAAGAAGCTGAGGGATGGGGAGAATACAAAAATAACACTTGGGAAATTTATATAAGCTTTGGGTTATATTCATTATCACATTTTTATTCGTTGGAGTTCTAATTTATGGGGTGTCAAAGAAGTTTAGAGAAAATGTGAACTATGCAAGGTTAGGGATAAGTACTCTAAATTCCTTCAGGATTTCTATTGGAGTTCCCGCTGTTTCCAAATACAGACGTTATAAGAGTATTTTTTGCAGGATTGGCGTTCCTTAATATTATAATAAGTTCTATATACAGATCATCCTTGGTTAACCACTTGAAAAATCCTGCAAGGGAAGGCCAAATATCCACCGTTAAGGAAATTTTAAACTCCGATTTGGACATCGGTGGTTTGGAATATTTAAGACTCATATATTTGTTATATATGAGTCTTAAATATTGTTGTCAGATCCTGTATCGCAGGAAATAGATACACCAAGTGAAAAATGACACGGCTGTACACTGGCTTGAATCTGTTGCGGTGGACAAAGATACTGCTTCCATATTTGATAAACTATACGTGATTACCTGACGGAAAAACTAGACAGTCGAAGAAGAGGGTTTGCCTTTGATATACATTCTAAAGAAACCCATTTTGCAATACTACCTCAGCTTAGTCATGAAGAAAGGTGGGATAGAATCAACCACGTCATGGTGAAAAAAAAATGAGGGCATCTGGATTGACGAATAAATTCCTGGAAAAATATTACGAGGCCATCAAAAGGTTCCGCGTTATATCCAGCGTTTTCAATTTGACAATGAACCATCTTCAGGGCCCCTAGTACTACACCTTTTCCAGTTGACATTCAGAAAGTAGGAATTGTAATTTAATTATTCCAGTTGATATTCAGATAGTAGGAATTGTAATTCAGCTATTCCAATTGATTTTAAGAGAGTACCATATGTAATTCAGATAACACAATTGATTTTAAGAAAGTAGCAATTGTAATTCAGATAACACAATTGATTTTCAGAAACTTGCAATTGTAATTCAGAAAGTAGCAAATATTTTTCAGATTAAATCAAATGTAATTCAGCCGCAGCAATTGTTTCAGGAACTGTGGGTTGCATACAGTAAATCGATGATGAATGAAAGTACACGTTATCTTTATTAACTAAGTAAATGAAATTTATATAAAGTACAAATGAACAAAATTCGGTCCTTATTTGCAATAAGTTGACAATTATGACAAATATACCTACTTAAATGGTGATAAATTTGTTTATTATTGTCAATTCCATGGAAACAAAGCAATACCCTGCTTAAAATACCCCATAGAGACCCTGTTCAAACCGATAGATATTTGTATCGGAATGTATGGTGTTTCTATAGGGTGTATCGGTATGTATAGGACCCATAGTTGGGATTTATGGTTGTTCTATAGGGATATATCCACCCTTGATTTATTTGCTATTGGTTTCAATGGGGAAAATACACATAAAAATAGAAATTAGTTTTTTCCCCATAGGACCCCATAGGTTTTAATAAAATTTTGTCAAATGTTTTATGGTTGCTCTGTAGGGATATCCCTATATATCCTTCATTGAGTTATTTTCTATCAGTCTCAATAGGGAAAATGTAAAAGTTATGGTGTGCCTATAGGTAATTTCCTATAAACTTTCTATCGGGCCGTATCCGGAAAAAAACATGGGCAAATGCACATATTGAATCCTATAGCGCCCGATAGATTATTTTGTATAGGTCTCTATGGGGTATTTTAAGCAGGGTATACAAAGAAATACATTAAATTGAGATTTTAGAAAATACCCTAGTAGATTCTTTGTCAAGATACTTGGAGAAGCATTTTGTAAAGAATTGGACAATTCTTGACCAAGACTCTTGATCAAAATTCTTTATCCAGACTTGGACAAGTCTGTGACCAGAATTCGACCAGATTCTTGGCCAAGAATTTTTACACGATTACACGTTAAATAGGAACTTTCAATTCAAGATTTTTGGTCAATAAAAAATTTTGTTGAACTTCAAAAGTTATGAATGTTACTAAAAACATTAATTTTTCACGGTTTCTTTCCAGTAAATTCGGTTTTTATCCATAAATCTGGTAAACAATAGAATTAAAAACGAAACAAATTTTGAAAGAGTTAAAGTTTTTAATTTTCTATGTTAAAAAAAAACCAGGTGCCCGTAAAAATAAACATGTAGGTATTTTATAATCTTTCATGTTCATAAAGAGTAAACTCTAGTTATGCGTCAGAGCTGACACACTTTTTTATTTAATTTTTGATTTTTAGAAATAACAATTTTTATTTTTCACAAAATCAATTTTTTTCTCAGCTAGAAGACGAATCCAATAAGCTCTTATTCGTATTTTCACATAAACAAAAAAACTATACTCATTTCCTACAGAGAACTCACTTCTCGACTAGTATACATTATTGTGAATGATACTACTGTAGAATGAGAACCTCTACTCCATAGAAAAACCTATGCTCTACTCTATAGGATAGTCCCAAAGTTTAGCAATAGATGGCCTCAGATTTCTGGTCAAATTCTTGTCAAATTCTGGCCAGTCTGGCTCATAGATAACAAAGCCTGGCTCAAGTCTTGCCCACACAGCAAACGAAAAATTATAGAAGTGTATAGGATGACTCCGCGTTTGAATATCAAAATTAAAGTTTTATCATAACTGTATTGAATCGTGCTTTGTTTTTATATTTTTCGGCTCTATACCTATGCACGACTATATTTAAAGTCAAACTCAATGGTGTCTTACAAGATACATTATTTTGATTTTCTATATTCAACAGAGGAGTAGAAACTCGACCCTGTCGAATGGTGCAGTCATTTATGTCTCTAGAAATTATTAAAAAAGGGTTCAGTCCAATGGTGCAGCAACTTCGGATTCCTATTCTCCTCAGAGACATAGAAACTCAAGCTTTTCGAATTTTACTGGCAATGATTTTCGTTAATGTCCCCGAGAATTATACAAAAACAGCGCAATGCAATATCGCAACGGTTTCGACTTCTCTTTACTCTACCAAGTTATAGAAACTGTTCTAGTCAATATTTCTGAGAGTATAAAAAGAGGGTGTAATATTGCAAGAAGTTTTGATCTTTTGATGGATTTTCTAGAAAATTCAAACTACTTAAGTAGTTTGAATTTTCTCCTTTCTGCATATGATTTTGTTGAAAATAGTTCCTTTTTTTGGTTCCTTTGTCTGATTTTTATTTACCGTAACAACTCAGGTATGTAAAGCACAGAGGATATGATGTTAAGTATATTTATGTATTATATAAAGTACCTATATTTGTATTAAAAATTTCAGAGGTTATGTTGAAAAAATGATCGATATGCTATTAAACTTTAATAATTTAGTAATTAGGTCTGTTGGTAGACCCTGCACTATCTCCACTGGTATATGTTAGTTTTGTAATATGGTTGATAAAAAAGTACACACCAGTGCAGGTTATTGTAGCATCTACGAACAAATGAATTAATGGCCCATTGGCAATTCCTTTAGGAAAAATATTCAACACAGCTTAATTAATTAATAAAATGAAAAAAATCACAATCATGTCGTATAGTTTTTTTTAAGCATAAAATAATTTTTATATTAATACTAGTTCAAAAGTGAAATTACGACCTCTATACTGTGGAGAGTATTGAAACGCTAGACTGACGAATACAACTCTATACCGTAGGGAGATTTAGAAAACGATATTCAAACGTGGCGTCATCCTATACACCTCTATAATTTTCCGTTTGCTGTGCAATAATCTTTGCCAAGAATCTGGAACAATTCTTGTACAATTCTTCAGCAAAAATCTGTCCAAAGTATCTTGACCCATGCTGGGCCAAGACTTTTCCGGAATTGCTACTAGGGTAAGTAAAATGAAATATGAAAATGTTATCATTTGTTAATTTCTGAATTTCAATTGACATATTCTGAATTACAATTGTTACTGTCTGAATACTATTTGTAATTTCTGAATATCATTTGCAATATCTGATACATCAGCTACTTTCTGAATATCATTTGAAATATCTAAATTACATTTGCTATTTTCTGAATTTCATTTGCAATATCTAAAAATCAATTGCTGCTTTCTGAATATCAATTGCTACTTTCTGAATATCAACTGGAAAAGGTGTAGTACTAGTACTAGTTTTCATCTACGAGTTCCTTCACAAGAAATTGCACAATTGTTAACAAAAGGAAACGAAAATAAACAACGTAACTTTTATTGAAATTTGCACTCTAGGATTCTTTAGGTCCTCTGGCTACAACCGCAAGGTAGCAAAAGGCTCCACTTTTGGGGACAGGTTGGGCTGCTAGAAAGGCTCCTCCATCAGGACTGTTTTCGTACAACATTGGAAGCTTTCCTCCGGCTTCTGCATTTGCATCAAAATCGTTAAGATCCGTGTCATCCCCAGAACCAGGCTGCAAAAAGTTGTTTAAGTTTTTTTAATTATCTTACAATTTTTCGTAGGTACTAAAAGATGCTGGATATTTGGAAGTGGACTTGTGGGTGGGTGATCTGTAAAAGGTGGCTCCAAATTTCCTCTCTGTATATTACTAATTAAATAATACATAAAATCGTTTCTTAGTTTCATTTCCTGCACAGTTCTATTACTGGAAGCCAGTTTTCTCATCCATCTCACCACTTTTTGCCGATCTAAATAATTAATAAAATACTAAAAAAATAATTCCATGAGTTAAACAAACATACCTTCGCATTTTGGCAAGTTGGAGATGGCATTTTTAGCCAAAAACATGTTGTAGTTGAAATCATAGTTCAGATCTTCCGAATTTAAAGACATACTGAAAATTTTTCTTTTTTAGTTTTTTTCTGACATAAATAATACGTCAAACTTTCCACGACACAATGATTTTTGTCCAACAATACAAAACCTGCAAAATTAATTGATTTCTACCTTGTGTCCTGAAAAACTGAGGTTATCTCCGAGTAATTTATTATCACCATTTAGAAGACTTTGCCAGTGAGTTACAAACAGACGTGGGAAGCAGTCCCTTTTAAGCAAAAACCGTCGCGTATCAAACCGATATTTATTTTAAAATTACACAGCAAACGGAAAATTATAGAAGTGTATAGGATGACTCCGCGTTTGAATATCAAATCTTAAAGTTTTATCATAACTGTATTGAATCGTGCTTTGTTTTTATATTTTTCGGCTCTATACCTATGCACGACTATATTTGAATAGGTCAATGCAGAAACTGAATATGTCCACTTTTTAGGGCTATTGAGTTAAACATGGATTTACTATAAGTAAAGGGAGCCCGATCGAATGGCGTAGAAATTTCACATGTCACGGTAATCTAGAATATACAAAGGCGTTAATATAGTAGAGAAACTGAATATGTCCAGAACATATGTCCACTTTCTGTTCAGTTTTTCTTATTTATCTCAAAACTAGATAGGTAGGACATATTCAGTTTCTGCATTGACGTATTCATTTAAAGTCAAACTCAATGGTGTCTTACAAGATACATTATTTTGATTTTCTATATTCAACAGAGGAGTAGAAACTCGACCCTGTTGAATGGTGCAGTCATTTATGTCTCTAGAAATTATTAAAAAAGGGTTCAGTCCAATGGTGCAGCAACTTCGGATTCCTATTCTCCTCAGAGACATAGAAACTCAAGCTTTTCGAATTTTACTGGCAATGATTTTCGTTAATGTCCCCGAGAATTATACAAAAACAGCGCAATGCAATATCGCAACGGTTTCGACTTCTCTTTACTCTACCAAGTTATAGAAACTGGAGTCTCTCTAATACTGTTCTAGTCAATATTTCTGAGAGTATAAAAAGAGGGTGTAATATTGCAAGAAGTTTTGATCTTTTGATGGATGCAAGTAGTTTGAATTTTCTCATTTCTGCATATGATTTTGTTGAAAATAGTTCCTTTCTTTGGTTCCTTTGTCTGATTTTTATTTACCGTAACAACTCAGGTATGTAAAGCACAGAGGATATGATGTTAAGTATATTTATGTATTATATAAAGTACCTATATTTGTATTAAAAATTTCAGAGGTTATGTTGAAAAACTGATCGATATGGTATTAAACTTTAATAATTTAGTAATTAGGTCTGTTGGTAGACCATCTCCACTGGTGTATGTTAGTTTTGTAATATTTAAATCTGGTTGATGAAAAAGTACACACCAGTGCAGGTTATTGTAGCACCTACGAACAAATGAATTAATGGCCCATTGGCAATTATTCCTTTAAGAAAAATATTCAACACAGCTTAATTAATTAATAAAATGAAAAAAATCATGTCGTATATAGTTTTTTTTAAGCATAAAATAATTTTTATATTAATACTAGTTCAAAAGTGAAATTACGACCTCTATACTGTGGAGAGTATTGAAACGCTCGACTGACGAATACAAATCTATACCGCAGGGAGATTTAGAAAACGATATTCAAACGTGGCGTCATCCTATACACCTCTATAATTTTTCGTTTGACGTGTACTGCAAAAAAATGCATAATCATGCTGGGGAAGGTCTAAACATTTAAGTTAAAGGGACCACTTAATTTAGCGTTAAACAATAAAATAATGGAATCAACTTTTTTATATTAGACATTAAACTTAAAAGCCAAGAACGTTTTGGTAAAATTAGCTAAAAGAAAGGGTGTTAATATAGAGTAAAATTCGCTAAACGTAGTAGTGTAAAATAAATAATAACTAATTCACTTGAATCTGAATTGTTTTAAGTTTAGAGGACTTAACTACATAATTTGGGCTACTTGGTTATTAACAATTATTTAATCAGAACTTTACAATAAATTTCGTTTAAGCAAAAATTTACAAGAAGCGATGCGTTCGCTAACAATTTCAAAAACGTTATCCCTGTTTTCTTGCTTCGCTTTACTCGCTTCGTATACCTGGACCGTCGTTTCTTGTATTATCTGGACACCAGATTTTTAGGCAAAGTTCAAAAAACTTGTAATTTTTTTACCTAAGTGTCTTTTTACCTCTTTTGCAAAGATTTTAGCCTTTAACACCATAAAATTGCAAATTTCAACTATTATTTTTACTTATTAAAACTCGTTTAGAAAAAAAAATTCCACAAGGTTAAAATCTTAATAATATTTTAAAAGAATAAAACAATGTGATAACATTTAAGTAGATCTTTATTATAAATCATACAAATAATATAATAATAGATTTTAAACCTAAAAGTACAGACGTATAAAAAATAATACTCCCGATAAATTAAATCAGTATATAGATAAAAAAATCCTAAACTTCATAAATAATACTAAAACTAAAAAATCTAAAATATACCGAACTATTAACAAACATGGTTTCAAATTGTAGATTTTCTTTTTAATCTTTAAAGCAACTTTACTTTGCTATTCTATATTTTTATATTTATATATATATATAGTCATTTCTCATAACTTATTATACAAAAACATTTCAATCTCCTTTAAAATTGCCTGACTTCAGTCACTGGAAATTTACACTTTGTTGATCAAATAAAATTACTTCAATCGAACAAACAAATTTAAGTCAAAACTTACATACATACAAACTTCATTTTTCTTTGGAAAAATCATAAATTACAATCAATAATAATAATAATAATAATAAACAAATTTCATTCCCAAAACATAGAACACATGCGCTGCCCTTTGATATACTTTATTACATAACAATTTATTTATCATTTAAATAATACTTTTTTCTTGAAAGTGCTCAATAATTCAATACTAATTTAGCATTCAACGATTCAACTACCGTGGTGATACAAAATGGAATGTACAAAAACAATTCCTGATTTCTCAAAAATCTTCGAAAGCAATTCAAAATCAGTCGTTTCAGGTCTATTTCTGTTGCAAGTAACAAATTCGAACGAAAATTCGGTCGCGCGGCGTCTCAGATTTTCAGGGCGAAAAATGAAAAGCCGAAACGCCGCGCGACTGCTGAGGGGTTATTTTGTAAATAGTGAGATATCTAGCCTAGAATTGACCTATACGAGTTTGAAGCCCGATAACTCCTTAACGGTGAATTTTGGAGGTTAACTTCTAGAAGCGGTTTTGTAGAGAATTCAACGAGGTGCCAAGGAAATTTTTGTGAGCCCAACCGATTTCGGGAAAACCACAAAAAACCCCCGAGTTGTCCTGTTAGTTAAGGAGACGGCCTAAAGCCTAAGTTTGAATCCGGATAACTCTTTAACGGTAAATTTTGGAGGTTAACTTCTAGACGCAGTTTGTAGAGAATTCAACGAGGTTTAAAACGGCGCACGGGAAATTTTTGTGAGCCCAACCGTTTTCGGGAAAACCATAAAAACCGCGTTGAGGGGAAGCCTTAAGTTCGAATCGGGATAACTCTTCAACAGTAAATTTTTGAGGTTAACTTCTAGAAGCGGTTTTGTAGGGAATTTAACGAGGTTTAAAACTGCGCAAGGAAAAATTTTATGTGACCAACCGTTTTCAGAAACACCACAAAAAACACCAGGTGGAAAATATTTTGCAGAAGCCTGGTAACTCTTCAACGGTGAATTTTGGAGGTTAACTTCTTGAATCAATCTTGTAGAGAATTTAACGAGGTTCAAAACTGTGTCAAGGAAATTTTTGTGAGCCCAACCGTTTTCGGGGAAACCATAAAAAACCTCCGGGTTGTCCGGTGTAAGTTGAGAGAAAGGTGGGCTTAAGTTTGAATCCGGTTAACTCTTCAACGGTAAATTTTTGTGGTTAACTTGTAGAAGAGGTTTTGTAGAGAATTCAACGAGGTTTAAAACCCGTTTTCAGGAAAACCACAAAAAACCCCAGGCGGAAAATATTTTGCAGAAGCAAACCCTTAGAAGTCGGATAACTCTTCAACGGTGAATGTTGGAGGAAAACTTCTAGAAGCGGTTTTGTGGAGAGTTCAACGAGGTGTAAAACGGCGACCGGCAAATTTTCGTCGGCGCAACCGTTTCCAGTAAAACCGCAAAAAACCTCGCGCTAGTTGAGAGGAAGGCAGAAGATGTTTTGCAGGATCGAACCCTTGCCGTTGGGGCGGCCGCCGCCCGCCGCCACCTCCAGCCGCATAAAGTCCGCGGCGAGCGCCGCCCCCGCCTCCGCGAAGAGATGGGGAGGCGGCGGGGGCGGGAATTGCGGCGGCGGATGGCGCATCGCCGGCGGCGGCGGCAGGTTGGCGGGGTGTAAGGCGCACTGGACGTCGTGTCACACGCAGTCCTCCAGCGACATCAGCAGAGGGTTCACGTATTCGAAACCCTCGAATTCACTCTGATCGATTTTTTCGATGATGCGCCTGAAAAAAAATGTTTTATATTCAGTGTATATTAAGGTTTAAAAAAAAAGCGAATTTTCTTGAAAACAGGATCAAAAATTTCGTTTAGGTGTAAAAATAAGCCTTTGAAAATATGAGCTCTTAATTTTAATATCTTAATGTTCCGCATCGCACTTTTAAATTTTCCATAAGAACATGGGAATTTTTTTTTCCTTCTGATTTTTGTAACTTACCAACTAAAGGTCATACAAAAAATGTGTTAGGGTATTTTTGTAGAGAATTAAACGCTCTACAAAAAAGGTTTCTTTAAATTTTTTGCTTAACCAATTGGTTAAAAAGTTATAGTTAGGGAGCTGGTGGCAATTTCGGTATACGATTTGCTCGTCGTTGGGAATGATATGTTATAGAGTTTTGATGCTTGTGAACTGAGTAAATATGGTGGCAGGCTCAGGTATCGCTGCTTTTTTTAAATAATTTTCAAAATTGTAAAAAATAAAACCTCAGTCATTTGCTCGTGTCTGGCATTTAGGATTTATATTAAATTGACCATATTGATACTAAAATAACATTTGCCAGACGTCTAGGACGCTGCGTTTTTTTTTTAATAATTTTAAATATGTAAAAAACAAATGCTCTATTAAGTGATTTGTTCGTCTTTATCTTATTTTTTTAATTCTTCATTTGTATCCCCTAAATAAGAAAAAAATATTGCCAGACATGTATGTCTCTGCTTTTTGCAACAAATAATTTTTAAAATTGTAAAAAATAATACCTAGCCCAAGTCATTTTCCTCGTGTCTGCCATTTAGGTTTTATGTTAAATTGGCTATATAGATTTAATAATTGAAGAGTACAGGGAAAAAAACGTGCAAAGTCAAAAATTTTAAATTTTCAGAAGAGCAATTTTAAACTTGAATACTGTGTAATCTCTGGGTCCTTTTAATAAACTAACTGCTTTTGTGAACTCTATTAAAACATTATGGTAAACAGTAATGTTAAGTGTAAAAAAAATAATAATTATCCTTGCTTTTTTAGCTACCATACCAAAAAATATCCAAATTGACTTTGCACGTTTTTGTTAATTATTATTATGTGTTATGTTAATAAACAAATTTTGCTATGTTTGGGTGCAAACTTGATTAAAATGTCTAAGAATTATTATTACTAAAATACTCTATAAAGTTTGCATAAATTTTTTTCAAGTTTGCTTATTTTCTTTTAAGTATTAATAATTTTTACTAATTTAACAATAATTTGGGCAACAGAAAGGGGTGCAAAACCGGATTTATCATTCTTATATCTTCTCCAATGTTGTCTTAAAATTTGAAAATTTTCGCACTTTATTTTAGACCTTTTTTGTTAATGACTGGCTTTATTGTCAATTTTTTTAACAATTTTTTTTAAATCGACGGTGGTGTAATTTCAATTTCTGGCAAAAAATATTTTTAGGTAAAAAATGCATAAACAATTAACATAATATAAAAACAAAATTTTTGTACGGGGGTCACCAAACTTGAGGGGTTAAAAGATAATATGACCCCATGACCCCATTTCAAATTTCAAGGTTTTATTTAAAAAAATGCCTGTAGACATCAACATATATTAAAATATCCGTAATGCAGCCATGTTGAATTATCGACATCTTTAATTTTAAACTTGATTATAAAAGGAAAGCCCTTATATAGGTCCCTGGACCTATAAATTCTACAGAATATAAAATACAGATTGCAGATTAGAGAATAAGATTAATGCCATTATAAACCAGCCATAACGCTATCTAGTGACAAAAACATTGTGTTACCAACTAAGTGTAAAAACAAATATTTTTATTGGTAAAATAATAAAAAAATTGCCCAACTTATACATAAGTTATACATGTATATTTAAAATCAATTAATAAAAAATTTTGGTGGCATATCAAGTTATCAAATAATGAAATTTCAAGCAGCAAAGTTAAATATGTTTTCAAAGCAAAAATTAAATTTAAAAAGGAGCCTATTGCGAGAAAAAAACAAATCGCTTTTTTTAAACACCCTAGTGTATATGCATTAAAAAAAACAATTTTTCTAATACAATTTATACAACATATGCAAGAAGACTTTTACGAATACAATTTGTCAAACCATCTTATATATTTATACCACGGGGCGTATTTGTTTAAATATTCAAATGTAAAGTACTGTGATTTATGGCAAGCCGTTTTATCATTACTAAAATTATGTGTACATAAATTTAATTTAATTAAAGTTATGTTTAGTGGGTATAATTTTAGTTATGTGAATTAAAATTCTATATACAGTATTCTCCTCCTGCACAATATGGATTAATCCCTAAAACACTCCGAATGTGGGGGTGCAAATTGGGTCCTTAATTTTGCACGTAACGACTCCCTTTAGGCTCGAGTAATAAATTATTTGGCTTGCACGAAACTCGTTGCGTAAAATGGAGCTCAATATCTTATGGCTTAATATCTCGCGAATACTTTAATTGCACATTTGATTGTTTAATTCGTTTTCGGTTCCTGTTGGGGTATTAGGTGGGGTTTGTGAGTATTAAATTGTCGGGTTTTTGTTATATTTGAATTTGATTTTGAAATTGTAAAAGGGTTTTACGTGACTCGTATTTAATTGCTTGAATAAATCGTTCGGAACGTTAACGTTTAAAATAATATTTTTTTACTTACGGGTCGTCCGGAGTGAGATGCACGGGTTCGTCGGTGAATTCTGGGGGGAAATTTGCCAGGTCTCTGTCGGAATCCAAACGGGGTTTGTATGGGGGTGGAACTTGTTTTTGTTCGAGCTGTAAGGAAAATTTAAAAAATATATATGTCGATAACCAAATCAAGAAACTATCAGAAAATATCAGTATCAGTAGACACGAAAAAATTAAAAAGTATCAAAAACCTTGACAAATAAATAAAAACATTATTTAAAAATTACTAAAAAAAGTTAATTATTATTTTCAGCAGGAAATATGTATATAAAAACCTTAAACAATGACCTAACACTACAAAAATATGGTGTGGAAAAATGTTGATAAATTAATAAAAAAAAAACAACCAATTAATGGTTAAAATATTATTTCCAGCAACAAAAATATATGAAAACCTTAAAAAACGACCAAAACTACAAAAATGTGGTGTACATTTAAAAATGTTGATAAATTCATAAAAAACAATCAATTAATAATTAAAATAATATTTTTAGCAACAAAAATGTGGAGTATGTTTAAAAATGTTGAAAAATTAATAAAAATACAACTAAAAAAGACAATAATTATTTTTAGCAAGAAATATGTACGAGGGTGGTTCAAATATAAACCGGAATTTTGCTATAAATTTTTTTATTATTAAGTTACAGAGCTGAAATTTTTTACAATTTTTCTAGATAGTCTCCGTCACACTCTACACACTTTTGCCACCTCTCCGGAAGCTTTCGGATGCCTTGTTCGTAAAAATCTCTCGGCTTGTCACGTAACCATTCGCGCACGAAGGATTCTACCTCCGCATTGCTTTCGAATCGCAGTCCGCCAAGTGCCTCTTTCAATGGACCGAACAAATACTAGTCGCATGGCGACAAATCGGGACTATAAGAAGGGTGTTCCAGTGTTTCCCAATCCAATTCGTTCAATGTTTTCATCAAACTTCCCAGCGTGTGAATTTCTGCTCAAAATTCAGAAGTCTTGGCACCCATCTGGCTGAAATTTTGCGGTAACCGAGCCGTTTATGAATTATTTGCTCAATACTACCTACGCTGATGCCCAATTCTTCAGCCATATCGCGTACAGTACTGCGTCGGTCTTCCAAAATGAGTTTTTCTACAGCGCTGACGTTCTCATCTGTAACACTTGTTTTGGGGCGCCGCGCATATGGCAAGTGCCACCACTTCTCGGCCTTTTCGGAAAGCGGAACACCATTCATACACTTGAGTCTTGGAGAGGCACTCATCCCCGAACTGCTTAAGTAATTTTTGATAAAATTTCCGCGGATTTTACATTATCTTTGACCAAAATACGAATAATGATGCGTTGCGCAACAGACACTGGTACATCCTTCTCGCTCATGGCTATAACTACACTGAAAAGCGAGGTTACGGAGTCCCGGCTGTTCTCTACGCTTCGTAACAGACCAGTCTAACATCCAGTGCAGCCACTTTTACGACACTAAATTTTTCGCCCGTTTATTCAAAAATTCCGGTTTATATTTGAACCACCCTCGTATATAAAAACAATAATATTATTTTCAGCAACAAAAATATATAAAAACATTAAAAATTAGCAAAAACTAAAAAAATTGTGGTGTACATTTAAAAATGTAGTGTAGATTTAAAAAAATTTAAAACTAATAAAAAAACAACCACTTAAGGATTAAAATATTATTTTTACCACCAAAAATATATAAAAACCGTAAAAAGAGCAAAAACTAACAAAATGTGAACATTTAAAAAAATTTATGTTAAAAAATTAATTAAAAAAACATTAATAAATTAAATTAATTAAAAAACAATAAATTAATAGTTAATTTTATTTTTAGCAGCTAAAAAATTTTAAAACTTAAAAAAATAAGCAAATGTTAAAAAACTAATAAAACACAACCAATTAATGGATAAAATAATATTTCTAGCAAATAAAATATATACAAATCTTAAAAATGTGGTGTACATTTAAAAATGTTGAAAAATTAATTAAAAAAACAACCAACTAATGGTTCAAATAATATTTTTAGCAACAAAAATATATGCAAATCTTAGAAAATTAGCAAAAATAAAAAATGTGGTGTAAATTTAAGAATGATAAAAAATTAATAAAAAACAACCAATTAATGGTTAATATTATTTTAAAACCTTAAAAAATGAGCAAAATAAAAAATAATGTGGCGTACATTTAAAAAAATTTGAAAAATTTAAAAATAACCAATTAATGGGTTAAAATAATATTTTCAGCAACAAAAATATATAAAAACCTTGAAAATGAGCAAATACTAAAAAGATGTAGTGTAAATTTAAAACTGTTGAAAAATTAATAAAAAAACAACCAATTAATGGTTAACATATTATTTTCAGCAACAAAAATATATATATAAAAAAAACATTAGCAAAACTTAAAAATATAACCAATGCATTTCAATGGTTAAAATATTATGTTCCGCAACAAAAATATATAAAAACCCTAAAAATAAGCAAAAACTAAAAAAATATGGTGTACAATTAAAAATGTTTAAAAATTAATAAAAAGAAAACAACATGGTTATTAAGGGTTAATATTATTTTCAGCAACAAAAATAAATAAAAACCTTAAAAATGAGCAAAACCTAAAAAATGTGGAGTACATTTAAAAATTTGGAAAACTTTAAAAAACAACAAGGTTTAAAATTTTACATTCAGCAACAAAAATATATAAAAACCTTAAGAATCAGCAAAAATTAAAAAATTAATTAAATATTAAAAATATTTCCCACCAAAAGTGCTTAAAATGTTTTGGTGTTGGGGAATATTTCTAATATTTGTTGAACATATCACCAAAGTTTTTTTTAACAAATTAATGATTACACTGTGCTCGAATCGGAAACTTTTTTTTTCTAACAAAAATGGCTTCTGGGTGGTTAATGTATTTGGGGCATGCTAAATTCAGTGGTGAAATCCGTTTTTCTAAGTTAGGTCATTTTTTCGAGATATTTAAATTTAAAGATTTGACATAAGAGTACATAAAATTGCTATGGGGGGAATTCGATCAAATATCCATTAGGGTGTTTCATTTAAATCGAAAAATTTTTTTTTCTTGCTGACACATGAAAATTTTGTTTTTTAGGTTGAAAAAAAATTCCCTGAAAATTTGAGCCCTTAACTTTTATTCTAAGTACTTCCTTTTTAATTTTGTAGTTTTTCCATATAAAAAGCATGTATTTTTAATCATTTTTACTTTAAATTTCTATATTTTGTCTGGGTTTTGAATTATAATTTTTATCACCATAATTTCCTGCATAGTATTTACGGTTTTTGAAAGGCCCTGCATCAATTTTGTTTTTGATTTATTTAAGTTGATTGTAGTAGCTCCAAAAGTCGTTTTTTCACTTTTTCTTACATATTTTTGAGAAAATAGAGCGAATGACTGGTTTTACCGAAAAATTTCAAATGAAAAAGTTGTAGGAAATTTAATTTTTGACAAAAAAGGTTTTTACGTTCATATCACTAAAGTGCAATTCAATAATCAAAAACAAAGAAAAAATAGGTTGTATTGAAATTTATGTAATTTGATTAAACAACTATATATTGCTTATATCTCTTAAACAAAGCACTTTAGTGATATGAACGTGAAAAACTTTTTTATTTGAACTTTTTCGGTAAAACCAGTCATTCGCTCGATTTTCTCAAAAATATGTGAAAAGAGTGAAAAAACGACTTTTGGAGCTACTACAATCAACGTAAATAAATCAAAAACAAAATTGATGCAGGGTCTTTCAAAAACCGTGAATACTATGCAGAAAATTATAGTGATAAAAATTATAATTCAAAACCCGGCAAAAATATAGAAATTTAAAGTAAAAATGATTAAAAATACATGCTTTTTATATGGAAAAACTACAAAATTAAAAAGGAAGTACTTAGAATCAAAATTAAGGGCTCAAATTTTCAGGGAATTTTTTTTTTCAACCTAAAAACCAAAATTTTCATGTGTCAGCAAGAAAAAAAATTATTCGTTTTAAATGAAACACCCTAATATCCATTTTTTTTTTAAATATACACTGTATAAGACTTTTTTATGATTTTTCGATTTTTTTCCCACCTTAAAACAGTTTTTATTTAATTATATTTTTTTTACATTTTATTTAAATACATTTAAAACAGTTTTAATGTTCAAATTGTTATTTACGCAAAATAATACGAAAATTAGGGGTACTGAGCAAAACTATATTTTTTAAAAATAAAATATGACATCTATATTTTATTCTATTTTTGTAAAATATGAATATACGATTAAATTGCACCAACGTTAGTTCAATAAAAGATTAACATTTAAGCGAATTGGAGCACTTAACGTCAAATGTTTAACATAAAATATTTCGAAAAAATGACCTAACTTTAAAAAATGGATTTCACCACTGAATTCAGAACACCCCAAATATGTTAAATACCCAGGTCCCATTTTTGTTAGATTTTTCAACTAGCACAGTGTTATTAATGGTTAATATTTAGCAACAAAAATATATAAAAACCTTAAAAAGTAACCAAAAACTAAAAAAATCACACCTCAACTTAAACTGTAAAATTACCAAAAGTTATTATAAAACAGTTAAAATAATATTTTCAACAAACATATAGGTTAACCTAATTTTTTATTATTTCTCAATACAATTTATTTTTAATATTATAAGAAACTTTTCTTTTAAAGATTTTATGGTTTTTGATCAATTGGTTACTTTTTAATACCATTTCAATGTTTTATTTGTCATTTTGTGCAAAAATAAATAAGTAAAATATTTTTTTCAATAACTCACCATATCCCAATCGATGCTCTTGAAGAACTGATGGTTCATAATCTCCGAGAACGACTCGGGGCTGTGGCAACCCAACCTATCCGCAGGATTTTTGTTCAGGAAGCCCTTCAGCACGTTGGCCGCTTTCACGGACAACGACCTCGGAATTCGGATGGTTTTTTCCAAAATAACTTGGAACAAATAATCCTCGGTGTTCTGGTCGGGATTTTCCGACGCTCCTGCTATGTCGAACGGCGACCGTCCCGCTAGCATCTCGTACAGCAGAACCCCTAAAAATAAGATTTTTTTTGTTAATTACACAGTAGGTAAATTTTCAACTCTTGAAATTTCACAGCTAAACGCTCGGACACGTAAACATAATTTTTAGTCGTAGATTTTAAATCCGTGCTCGGTTTAGCTGTACCTATCAGGTCTAAAAAAGTTTTTCCTAGCGGAAGTCCGATCCAGGGACACAGTGTAAACTGGTATATTATAATTTGTAAAATAATATATTTCACCTCTTGTGCCAACATTCCTATATTTTTTATTTCAATAAACATAATAACCTCAATTATACTCAATAAAAAAAAAATAGCAAAAAAACATTTTGAATTTCCTAAATTATCTATAAAAAACTCACAGGGACCCCTGTTCCTTTTGACCAATTAACTTTTTTTTAATTTGGAACTGATGTGTGGATCCAGACAAATTATTTTTTTTTTTAATTTATACAGGGTGTTTTCAATATCTTTGAATTTTGACCTGATACAGCTAAACCAAGCACGGATTTGTAATCTACGACCAAAAATTAAGTTTACGTGTCCGAGCGTTTAGCTGTGATATTTTCACCTCCCTACAGTGTTATCATCACATTAAATATGTGGTAACTCGTGAACTACTTCAACAATGCCCTTGAAATTTAAGTAGCACAATAAGCTGTGTATTCATCCTATTTTGTCCAAATTTGAACTCTCTAGCTTCTTCAGATTCTGAGATATCCAATAGCAAATATGGATAAATATCATCATGTAAAATATGTGGTAACTCATGAACTACTTCAACAATGTTCTTTAAATTTAAAATACATAATAAATTAGGTATACATCATATTTTGTCCAAATTTGAACTCTCTGGCTTCTCCAGATTCTGAGATATCAAATAGCAAATATGGATAATTATCTGCATGTAAAATATGTAGTAACTCGTGAATTACTTGAACAATGTGATTTAAATTTAAAATACATAATAAATTATGTACACATCATATTTTGTTCAAATTTGAACTCTAGCTTCTCCATTTGAACTCTAGCTTCTACAGTTTCTGAGGAAATCTGCATAATTATCTTAATGTAAAATATGAGGTAACTCGTGAACTACTTCAACAATGTTCTTTAAATTTAAAATGCACAATAAACTATGTATACATGCTATTTTGTCAAAATTTGAACTCTTTAGCTTCGCCAACAACGTTCTTTAAATTTAAAATACATAACAAATTATGTATACATCATATTTTGTCCAAATTTAAACTCTCCAGCTTCTCCAGATTCTAAGATATCCAATAGCAAATATGGATAATTATCTACATGTAAAATATGTGGTAGCTCGTGAACTACTTCAACAATGTTCTTTAAATTTAAAATACATAATAAATTATGTATACATCATATTTTGTCAAAATTTGGAGATTCTAGCTTTTCCAGATTCTGAGATATCCAATAGCAAATCTGGATAATTATAAACTATGTATACATCCTATTTTGTCCAAATTTGAACTATCTAGCTTCTATAGATTCTGAGATCATGTAAAATATAATTTTTTATCTTTAAAATGATTAAAGACGTCCAGCGAAAAGAATCACAAAATAAGTAAAATTTTAATTGAAATAAAAAATAATTCTCACCTAGTGCCCACCAATCCACGGAAAATCCGTAATCCTCGCCCCTGAGTATTTCAGGGGCGATGTAATTTGGGGTGCCGCAGAAAGTGGAAGTCGTATCCCCCGACCGTATCCCCTCCTTACACATGCCGTAGTCCGTCAGTTTGATGTGACCTTCGTGGTCCAGCAGCACGTTGTCCAACTTCAGATCTCTGTAGATTATGCCTTTGCAGTGCAGGAAGTTAAGAGCCAGCGAGATTTCCGCCGCGTAGAATCTAAAATACACGGTGTCACCTAATAAATTGTCATCCTTTGGGGGGATGATATTACACGCCAAAACAAGAAAGTTTTTCCTCTATTATTTTTGCATTAGAGCTACTGTTTTTTAATAAAAAAAATATAATTTTTTTTGACAAAACTAGGGAGCCTCTGGATGTCACTGACCTATCCTATATATCATCATTGTTTTTACCTCTGAAAACAATTCATCCAAGCAAAAAAGAAACAGGTATGCGCACAGTGTATTATGTAATATTAAGCAAACTTTTAAACTTATTCAAAATCTGTTGGTAGGTATTTTGTTATCATTGATTACTGACAGTTCGGTTGGTATAGTGGTTTCTCTGGGGCTACACGAACAGTTTAGTGTACCAGAGCGAAGTGGACACATTAGAACAACTCCGCGAACTTGTAACTGCAGCGGCAGATGAAATCAGAAATCAGAAATCGTCCGATTTTGTGGAACACTTAAAAAAATAGCTACATGAGCATCAATCGACGTAAAAAGTGTTAAAATCGACGGGAAATCTACGGAAACCTCGAGATACCTAACAATAAAAAGTAAGTAATGGTTTTATTAAAAGTACCTATAAATAGCTGAGTATGCAAAACAAAAAACAATTATCAACAAAGTAATCAATGATAACACAAATGTAAATTTTTAATGAATGTAGATTATTGCCCACTGTGCAAGCATATTTTGCGTCAGTTGTCGTAGATCAGGAACAACCAGTGGCGGCCCAAAATATCTACTTTACTTATAAAAATAAATGTTAAAGAGGCCATTTGACATTTTAAAATAAGCTTTACTATCGCTAACAAAAAAAACTCATACAGCTTAAAAATCTAGTGTTCCTGATTTTCTATCATTTCGTTGGCGTAATTATGGCTTTTAACATGATACGTCACATTTGAAAGGACTAGAATGAAATACAAAGTTAGGTTGAAGTTTGAAAAAAAAATAATATTTCGTCATGCCTCTGTTTTTGTCAATTACTGCCCGCAAACGGCAAAGCATGGAAGTCGCCGTCTTGCTTTATCTAGTCTGCATTGTTTGGTTGAAAATTTTGTTAAAAAAGTCATAATGTGACAAAGCTCAATGTCAGCTTGATATTGACGGAAAAGTTTTATTCACACAGCCACAATATAGCTGTATGAGTTTTTTTTGTTAGCGATAGTACCTTTTTAGATGTTGCAAAACCTTTTGTTCTAAGTGCAAAACAAACTTTTAAAATGACAATACCGAAATGCACTGTGTAAGAAAACCATTTTCACCTGGCAAACTTTCACGTTGGGGCAAATTTTAAAAATTTTCTCTTACCTGGCGTGTTCTTCGGGTAGCCGCCGCTGGCGCTGCATGTGGAACATGAGGTCGCCGCCGCGCACGAATTCGATCACGAAAAATAGCCGCGAAGGCGTTTGAAAGCACGAATGCAAGCCGACCAAGAACGGATGGTTTGAGGCGGTTTCGAACACGTGTTTCTCGGTCTGCACCCAATCGATGTCCTCGTCGTCGGTCACAAGGGCCTTTTTGATTACCTATAAATGTTTTACGTACGTTACGGAACATCTGCAGATCTACGAAAAATTATTATAAAAATACTAAAACTTTTTAAACTAATTTCTCGCTAAAACAATTGAATGAATGAATTTGTGGTTATGTTTTTCATTTAATTTGAAGCGCAGCTACGAACGCTATCTATTCAAATTAATCCAAAGTGGTACGAATTTCGATTTTTTCCATTGTCCGGCTGTTCCCTTCAGTTTTTCCTAATGTATTTTTTTTTATTTAAACTACCCCAGGGCCCTGTATTGAGGCGAACAAAACCGAGTTTTTGTAGGACTAACGCACGGCGATTCATTTTAATATACAGTGTGACCCATTTGTTTGCGACTCACCCCTGTAAAATCTTTATTTATTTTGCGATTTTAACCGGATTTGTTTTAAAGTATGGATTTTGATAAACTGCATTTTTTGAGCAAAAAAACGCCATATTTTTACAAAATACAAGCCCACTATGTCAGTTTTTAAGAGTAAGTTTTTAATTCATATTGGCGATTTTTTTAAACAAAATCTAAGCCCGGCACTGGATTCACCACCCCTCAAAACGACCCTATACTAAATTTTATTAAAAAAAGTAAAAAAATGCACAAAAATAACTACAAAAATTTATTCTGTCAAGTTATCCATGAAAAAAACATTTAAATAAAATTAAACTAATAGTAACATGGTACTATTACTATAAGTAAAATGTTTCTATAAAATTTACTAAAGGATCGTTTTGAGGGTTGGTGAATCCAGTGCCTTGCTTGAGTTTTATAAAAAAAAATCGCTAATATGAATTCTTAAAAATTTACTCTTAAAAACTGACATAGTAGGCCTTGTATTTTATACAAATATAGCCTTTTTTGCTCCAAAAATACAGTTTATCAATACCTACACTTTAAAACAAATCCGGTTAAAATCGCACAATAAATAAAGATTTTACAAGGGCGAGTCGTAAACACTGTATATAGATAAAAAATAAGCGTTTTTTTCGTATTTTTTGTTATTACTAAATATACATTTCAATTATAGGGAATGCCGCAGCATTTTAATGGAAAACATTATCTTGAGTCGAATGATGTAAAAATTGTTGTAATTTCGTTTGAAAAAAATTAAATATCTGAAAAACTGTTAAAAATAAAAAAAATAATCAAAATTTAGCATTCTAGAATTTTACGTAGAATACAAATTTCAAATCGATATCTTTTTCCCCTGTATATATCGACATTTAATAAAAAAAATCTCCGGAAAAAAATTACCAAAATGTTTTTTACCTTCATAGCATAAATCCGCCTGGTTTTCTTTAACTCCACCATCAAAACTTTAGCGTACGACCCCCTTCCAATAACGCGAATCAACTCAAAATCGTTCAGAGAGTACTGCCTTTGAGATCCGGGTTCCGCATCGTCCAAAGGCTTGTTGGGATCCTCCACAGGCACACTCTCACCTGAGTTCAAAAGATCACATTTATTATTATTATTCCCTCATAGTACAACGCCGTAAAGTTTGTACCTGTAACGTCCGGCGGTGGCTCGGGGAAGTCGTCTCGCCCGTGTAAATCCCCCGAGGGCGTTCCGAGCGCCCCCTGGTGGCCAACGGCGGCATCGCCGTTGCTCCTTTCGTCCCTCGATGGTTGCTGATCCGAGTGGTCGCTGGCGCACGGCTTGTTGACCGCCTGATATTGTTAAAACGTCCGCATTTAGTCAGTTAAATATGGTATATAAAAAATGCCAAGGCTATTTTACAGAAGGTGCAATTATCTGTCATTTGATATTTTTTTTTAATTGGGCCAAAATAAACGAAGTTATAGGTTTAAGGCTCATTCACATCCACTTAATAAGCGTAACTTAACTTCTTCTTCTTCTTCTTCTTAAATCTGAACACAGATAACTGTGTTCAGGGGTAATGGCCTTTAGCTTAATTTAAAAGCTATTTGGCCAGCTCATTATGTTTAAAAAAAAAGTTAATATGAACAAGGGTCTCAATCAAGAGAGTCTGAGTTAAACTCATCCCTTGAATCATTTATATAATATATTTATTTTAAAATCACTTTATGTCTATTTTCTTTTATCACTTTAGTACACTTTTCTCTTCGGTTTTTCTTTCTTCAAATAATTTTTCTTAATTCATCCACTTATACTTTAACATCTATTTAATTACATTTATCTTCAATACACTTCCATTCATCCATACTACTCTTCTAAAAATTTTAATTTATGTTTTACCAGTTCGTTTTCCATATTTTTCAGTATTTTCTCCTCCAATTGGTCAATATTCAATCAATAATTCTTGTTAATTTCATCCATTTTACCTTTTTTTTTTTTATTAATTTCAACCATGCGTTACATGGCAATTGTCTGCTTGCAAACTTATTTCCGTATATATTCTAAACATCCGTTGTGGGAATTTCTCGTAATTTACTTAATCTGATGTTTGCATATTTAATAAATACCAGCGTATTTTTGTACTGGGAGTCCCATATTGTCTTCCCAAGGAAGGCCGTCTACAACCTTCTGCTTCAGCAGACAATACAAAACTGGTAACTTAACTTAACTTAAGAAACCTACGTCTGTTTACATTAACTTAATACATGTGATTGGCTCACGTAAGAAACGTATTCCCTTAAGTTGAGCCGGACCCAACTTTTGAATACGTTAAGTTACGTGTGATAAGTTTTCTACGAATGTAAACATGCATTGGTTTCAATGTATTTCAACTTACGTCTCTCAGGTGAGTTAAGTTAAGTTAAGTTAAGTTACGCTTATTAAGTGGATGTGAATGAGCTTTTAATTTTATAAGAACTGAAATTGACACTATTTTACATTTTGTGGATTATCTCGAAAATTTAGTACCGGGCATATAAAAATATTTACATTGTTTTAAAGTAGCTAAAATTATCCGACACTTGATGTTAATATTTTTTAAATTGGTTAAAAAATAACCAAAATGCAGACTTCTAAAGTTGGTGTTAATTTTTAGAGAACTCAAATTGACACGGCTTTACATTTTGGGGATTATCTCGAAAATTTAGTACTGGGGCATATTAAGACATTTACATTGTCTTAAGCTAGGTAAAATTTTCTAAAATTTGATATATATATATTTTTGAATTTGGGTCAAAATAAACGAAGTTATAGACTGTCAAAGTTTGGCTGAATTTTATAAGAACTGAAATTTTTCACTATTTTACATTTTGTGGATTATCTCGAAAATTTAGTACCGGGGCATATTAAGATATTTACATTGTCTTAAACTAGGTAAAATTATCCAACATTTGATATAACTATTTTTAAAATTGGTCCAAAATAAATAAAGTTATAGACTGTCAAAGTTTGGCTTAATTTTATAAGAACTGAAATTGACACTATTTTACATTTTGTGGATTATCTCGAAAATTTAGTACCCGGGCATATAAAGATTTTTAAATTGTTTTAAAGTAGGTAAAATTATCCGAAATTTGATATAATTATTTTTCAAATTGGGTAAAAAATAACAAAAGTACAGACTTCCAAAGTTGCTGATAATTTTTAGAGAACTCAAATTGACACGGCTTTACATTTTGGGGATTATCTCGAAAATTTAGTACTGCGGCACAATAAAATATTTACATTGTAAAATTATTTAACATTTGATATAATTATTTTTAAAATTGGGCCAAATTAATTAAAATTAATTAATTAAAATATTTACATTGTCTTAAACTAGGTAAAATTATCTAACATTTTATATAATTATTTTTAAAATTGGGCCAAATCAAACGAAGTTATAGACTGTCAAATTTTGGCTTAATTTTATAAGAACTGAAATTTACACTATTTTACATTTTGTGAATTATCTCGAAAATTTAGTACCGGGGCATATTAAGATATTTACAAAATTATCCGACAACTCCAAAGTTGGTGTTAATTTTTTCTTAACTTTAAGAGAATTGCTTAAAATACCTTTAATAAAATAAACCAAAACAAAAATGCGTACCTTGTGGCACTTCTTGTGCACCAATAACTTGCACTGGATGCACTTGAAGCCCTGCCTGCCCAGGCCCCAGATGCGGTCGTCGCAAAAGGCGCAGAAAGCTTTCTGAAAATCGAATTAAAAAGTTTTTTATTAGCGTTAGGTGCTGGTTGGGCGATGTAAAAGTTTTGAGGGTATTGATTTCGGATGTCCTCGGAGACTTACCCTGTTAAATCTTTTCGCCTGGAAAATGTGCCCGTTCACTCTGTACAGTTTTCGCCATCGTCTGGCTCCCCTTCGATATATGCTCCCTGAAAACATTAATTGGTAATTGTCATTACATGGGTTTTAAAACTTTAAAAAATGTATATTTTTTGTAATTGTACCTACAACAAGTCAAGAATATTTTCCCAAAAGTTATGAGTGGATTGGAGTAAAACTCGTGGAGATAGAGACTTTGAAAACTCTTCCCCAAATAAAAATAAAAAGACTTTTTATTGTTCTTCTTAAGGAACTGACAACTTTTTGAAATCAAGATATTTTTCAAGAATAATCTAGCAATATAAAAATAATTAACAAAAAGCTTTACCAGAAAAATAGCAATTAAACATTTTTGAACCAATTAACCTTATTTTACATAACCTAACCCAACACACCAACCAAAAAAATACCTACCGATTTTCTCTTTGTGAGTGTTCGTACAAAATACTATACATTTCACCAAACTCAACACCGTCATTATAGAAAACACATTTTTGCCAGAAAATAGTCAACAAAATTTCCATTTAGCTGACTAGTAGACATTGTTCAAATAATATATTAATTGGATTTAGAAAAACATTTATTCACACGTATATATTGTGGACTGCAAAAAATGCTTAAAGAAAGTATTTTTTGTTATACAGTCTGGTTTAATGTAATAAAGTTAATTAAATAATTATGGTAAACAGAATTATCCCCCCCAAAAATTGTACTCACTGTCTTCTCCTTGACATGGCATTCCAGGCTGAGGCGGGACATTTGGAAACACTGTAATAAAAAAAGCATTGAAAATATCACCGATTTTCGTCAAATCCAAAGTGGACATTTTTATATTAGGATTTAAAAAGTTTCCCGAAAAAATACCATTTTTTAGCGAATATATTATTTGTGTTTTACGTTCGTTTAAAATTTATTTTTGTTACAATAAGATAAGATAATTGTTTATCTATATGCAATAGTTATAATTGATATGGTATAAGATAATGTTTGGATGAAATGTTCCATTTATTATAGGCAAAAACTGGTCCATTTTCTTGACTTCTATGCCAATTAAAAATTTGTTTTAAAATAATAAAATAAATTATTTTGTTTTTATTTAACAAAAAAATAAATAAAAGTACAAGTATTAATTAATCTAAACATGACACATGCTCTAGTTTCCCAAAATTCAAATAAATAAATCACAATAATCACTTACTTAACGAGATAAGCAAACACACGAAAAAAAAATGCAGAAAAATGTATAAAAGCAATTTACAAAGAAATAAACATTTGTTGTTTGTTTGATTAAGGATCTTATCAAAAACAAAATTTTCCTGCCTATTTACCCGAAATAATGTGTTTTCGGTATTAACATAAATCAATATTTATGCACGCTTTGTGGGTATTATTTTTATAGTACGAGGTGTAAAGAGTTATGTGATACCTCGAATATGATTTTTTACGTTCTTTTGGGTGTAATTTTATTATTTTTATAATAATACAATCAATTTTATAAATTACGTCATCAATTTTAATTATATTATAAAAAGATAATAATAAAACAATAAATATTTTTTAACAAGGAGTAATAAAAAAGCATGCAAGATAAAAATAAAAATATTTTATCTTTTTAAATATACAGGGTGTTTCATAATATATGCGCAGGACTTCTGGATGTGATAGCTCATCCAAAAAGATAAAAAAGTCGCTATTAAGTTACGCTCTAAAATGCACAATTTTCGAGATACAGGGTGTTGAAATTTTAGAAAAAAATTCGTTTTTTTCGAATATCTCTGGAACCGTTTATCGTACAAAAAACAGCTTTTGTAAGCATTTTCTACTCAAAATAAGCTGTGTTTTGTGCTAGAAAAATTTATAATTGGTGGAGATTTTGAAGGGGTAGCGGGTGTTTTTCTCCTCAACTTCTACGCCTCTGAAAAAAAGTACGGTTTTGAGAGGCCCATTCGAACCGCCACTGTTTTCTACACAAAAAAGGTACTCCTGGTCATAAGCTCTAAAGTTGACCGTTTTCGAGAAAAATCAACTTTTATGTTTAAAAACATGGTCAATTTAAAAAAATATATTTTTTTTACTAATTAAACAAAATTTATTTTAACGTTAGGACAAGTAACAAAACCAAACCATAATTGCAAAATAAAAAATGATTTAAAAGTTGTCTTTGCTTAATTCTCCAAACCGTAAAGGTAACGCATTTCGCACATTTCAGCATTTCATTTTTTTTTTTAATTTTGCAATTATCGTTTGGTTTTGTTACTTTTTCTAACGTTAAAATAAATTTTGTTTAATTAGTAATAAAAAATTTTTTTCAAAAAATTGACCATGTTTTTAAACATAAAAGTTGATTTTTCTCGAAAACGGTCAACTTTAGAGCTTATGACCAAGAGTACCTTTTTTCTGTAGAAAACATTGGCGGTTTGAATGGGCCTCTCAAAACCGTACTTTTTTCAGGGGCGTTGAAGTTGAGGAGAAAAACACCCGCTACCCCTTCAAAATCTCCACCAATTATGAGTACAAAACATTGCTTATTATGAGTAGAAAATGCTTACAAAAGCTGTTTTTTGTACGATAAACGGTTCCAGAGATAATCTAAAAAAACGATTTTTTTCTAAAATTTCAACACCCTGTATCTCGAAAATTGTGCATTTTAGAGGGTAAGTTAATAGCGACTTTTTTTATCTTTTTGGATGAGCTATCACATCCTGAAGTCCTGCGCATATATTATGAAACACCCTGTATAGGTGGTTTCATAAACAAGTTTTATATAAAATATAGCTTGTTTTCAAATCATTTTGGTTAAGTTAAATGTTGTCGGGGGTCGTAAGTGACGCCAAACGTGTTTTTTACAGTCTAGGAGGTAAAAAACTTACCTGATTGGTCTTAATTATATTTACAGCTTATTAATCATTATGGTGTCAATAATAAAGTTTAAATTATAAAACGGTTCAAGATAAAGTGATTTAAAGTAATTGGATAGTTGAAAACTGCCCTACACGCATGAATTTTAAAATGGTAGGACAAATTCGCACAAATTGGAATTAATTTTTAAAAAATTCAAAATTTAAATTTTTAGTGTCACATGCTACAAAAAACTTACAATAAGGCAAATGCGATGCAACGCATGTCATATCAAAAACAGACACAGGAATATACGAACACATAACAGCAATTTGATTGGTCATCTCAAACATTGTCATACGACATTTTTTGACACTCATGGTTTTATCTACCGAAAAAAAAAAACCTGTTGCGCCTTGTTTTGTTTTTAGGTTCACAACACAGAAATTTCGACGTTTTGTTTATCTAACACACTTTTGCATTGTTTATGCATGACAAACACAATTTGTACTGTTTTAAAAACAGTGTTTTTAATTAGGTGGGACGTCGAGAGATGAAATTTCCAAAAACGATAAATTAAACTTCATATCTGATTAATTACGTGATAGTAATAAATTAAATCTAGTATAAACATCATATGAGTTGCAGGGGATATTATTATTTCTACAGTTATATTAGTCTTTAACAGCAATTTGATTGGTCATCTCAAACATTGTCATACGACATTTTTTGACACTCATGGTTTTATCTACTGAAAAAAAAAAACTGTTGCGCCTTGTTTTGTTTTTAGGTTCACAACACAGAAATTTCGACGTTTTGTTTATCTAACACACTTTTGCATTGTTTATGCATGACAAACACAATTTGTACTGTTTTAAAAACAGTGTTTTTAATTAGGTGGGACGTCGAGAGATGAAATTTCCAAAAACGATAAATTAAACTTCATATCTGATTAATTACGTGATAGTAATAAATTAAATCTAGTATAAACATCATATGAGTTGCAGGGGATATTATTATTTCTACAGTTATATTAGTCTTTAACAGCAATTTGATTGGTCATCTCAAACATTGTCATACGACATTTTTTGACACTCATGGTTTTATCTACCGAAAAAAAAAAAAACTGTTGCGCCTTGTTTTGTTTTTAGGTTCACAACACAGAAATTTCGACGTTTTGTTTATCTAACACACTTTTGCATTGTTTATGCATGACAAACACAATTTGTACTGTTTTAAAAACAGTGTTTTTAATTAGGTGGGACGTCGAGAGATGAAATTTCCAAAAACGATAAATTAAACTTCATATCTGATTAATTACGTGATAGTAATAAATTAAATCTAGTATAAACATCATATGAGTTGCAGGGGATATTATTATTTCTACAGTTATATTAGTCTTTAACAGCAATTTGATTGGTCATCTCAAACATTGTCATACGACATTTTTTGACACTCATGGTTTTATCTACTGAAAAAAAAAAACTGTTGCGCCTTGTTTTGTTTTTAGGTTCACAACACAGAAATTTCGACGTTTTGTTTATCTAACACACTTTTGCATTGTTTATGCATGACAAACACAATTTGTACTGTTTTAAAAACAGTGTTTTTAATTAGGTGGGACGTCGAGAGATGAAATTTCCAAAAACGATAAATTAAACTTCATATCTGATTAATTACGTGATAGTAATAAATTAAATGTAGTATAAACATCATATGAGTTGCAGGGGATATTATTATTTCTACAGTTATATTAGTCTTTACGAATAATACAAAAACCATTAAAATTTATCTAAGGCAGTCTGATATCATTAATAAAGGATCTATAAAAAGATTGTTTGAACAAAACTGAACAAAACGTCTTGTAGGTAGGTAAAAACATATAGTTTATCCTTACAAAATACTTAGGATAAATATCCTTCCATTATCCTTGAAACCTTTGGAGGACGAAGTTCCGAATTAAGTTGCCAGATAAATCAAAAACTTTTCGTCCTCAGTTAAGGATAACGACGTAATCCTTAAACATTGTCCTGCTTTTCGAGGCGACTTGATTCAGAACAATGTTTTATTGTTTAAAAATCATATCTTATCCAGGAGATAAATTTACTCTGGACGCCAACAACACAAGTAGTAGATTTTTCTATTATACAGTGTGTTTCTTACTTAAATAATAAAAAATGCGGACATCTAAAAGACAGGGTGTTTAAAACACAGCCTGCTAATTTAGATTAATTAAGAATAACTGCATTAATTAAGAACATAAAAGCGAATGTTTTAAACAGAGTGCGGGAACAATTTTACAGTTTATGAGCACACTCCAAAAAATTAAAATTGACCCAATTTGTTTAAAAACCAACTTTTTTGAAAGTTGCAAAAGTTTCGTCTGATGATTTTATGAGAGAAGTTCTGGCAAATTGTCAAACAAACTTTTTCAAACGCGTCGTCGCGACAGCGAAACAAGAAAAGTCCATCGAGAAATTTACGTTCGCAACGCAGAAGTTAACGAGCTCAAAAAGTTACTGCGATTAATTGGTTTTAGTTTAATGTTGGAAGTATTTTTAATTATGCAATTTTATTCAAGACCTATTAAAATACAAGACCCTGTTAGTATGGCTGTATATTTTTAAATTTAATAGTGTATTATCGTATCATACAACGATTAAAGAATTATATTAACACATAAATGTATTTTTAATCGAATGTAGAAAATGGGAAAAATTCGCTGTAAATAACCCCTATGCCATTTAGATTTTTCACCCCGATAAATGTCTGCCTTTCTCGGGACTTTCTTATGTTAAAAAACACGTAATAATTTTCTTTCAATGTCTGTGTAAAAACGAAATCTTATCTATAAATGCACGGCGAATTTAGGGTAAAAATCTGGAGAGAAGAATCCACGTATTCAGGCAGTATTTTTGTGATATCAGACA